CCGGCGTGTGAAGCCTAAGTGTCTCGGATAGGACGGCATCCAAATAGGGAAGTCGTGTCAACACGTCGTACGGTATCTCTCCGTCCGAATCGATGGCACCGTTTATCTCGTCGTAGAGTTTCTGTTGGACCGACGGATTGAGAGCCAACTCGTAGGCCATGAATGCGAGCGTCGAAGAGGTCGTCCCAAACCCGGCGACAAACATAAATCCCTGGGCGACGATCTCCTCGTCCGATAGCGACTGATTAACCGCTTTTATATTCATAGACGACTGTCTACTAAGTGACGGCTCCTCTCCGCCTATTAATCGGTATATTATTAGCAAATATATATGTATTCATTACAAACGTGTGTATAATTTAAATATTTTTCAATTAAGTTTAGTTAAGTGTAGTTAAGTTTTCAATATTTATTCTTAGTATTAGTGAAAATGACTTTAAAATAAAATTAATATAATTGCCGCACGTTTTCGGGTCAACACTGTGACCGTCATCAGGGCTAAGATGCCATGAGATATGAGAATGAGTTTCAATAATGAATTACATTTGAAAACTGAATTCAAATATGTGTATAGTCTGTAACTAACTGTTTTGTGAAGTTTATAATTTAATCATTGTTAATACAAAATTGAGATGGCAATTATTAATTTTAAATCAAATATTGAAAATAATACATTTACTGTAACTACAATGATTTATTTAAATTAGATAAATATAAATAATGTTACTTAAGTACTACTACAAACCTGAGTTTATATAATGAATTTGGCTGTCATTGTCAACCAGTGTAACATCCCTTTCCTTTCGGGAATTAATGAGTAAACCCATAAAATGAGTAAATTTTTTGTCCGAATTTTGTCTTAATGTCAATATTTGTCGCAATATATTCACAAAATAATCCGTTTCTCTATCAGTGGTCAATGACTTTATATTAAGGAAATGGCGTAAAAATGTGGGAATTAAATGAGCGCAAAGGAACCGGAACATAGACGCGGAAAATATATTGCGGGCGTTCACGAGGTACGGATCGTCGAGGTCGGTGAGCGCACTACTTTAGGCACCAAATCCACATGCTACAATCACATCAGTTACCTAGCGTTCAGACATGTCTATGACGTCAAACTGACCCTCATTTTTCGCCATAACGTCCAACGCGTTTACCATACGATTCGACAATTCGTTGATCAATGCATTCATTTTCGACAATTTTCTGCTCGTGAAGGCCGGACTCACGACCGCCCGGACACGTCTCCAGTGGTCGCCCTCAGCGGCCGCTACGCTCAGGTCGACCACTGTATTCCGATCGCTTGGTTTCCATTTTCGGTCGTGAAATACGTTAAAATCGGTAACAATTATATGTTTTATTAGCTCAGGTTCGGCCACAATTAGTACTGGCTTTAGACCTTCGTATACCCTAGTGATCAGACAATTGATGTTGAAACGTTTACAATGATTACCATTTTAAATCACGATTCATTTATATTAGTTTTATTTATTTATTAAAAATGTCCTTACCAAATGTATAACAAAATAATTACGGAGAATGTAATTTTTGTATCCGTATTAGAAAATATCTGTAAGTCAACTATTCTAGCGGTAAATAGTATGCAACTCTAAAGATATCTATAAAAAGTGTGCATAAAATCCCTTTCAGTGTTATTAAATGCAAGCATTGTCTCAATTGTTGCGGACTTTTACTGCTTTCCGTATCAAATTAAACAATCGAGAGGGAAAAGTTATAATGGGCGTATATTGTGCAATACTTTTCATATTGAATAGTACACAATGTAAGGTCGTACAGAAATAATAATG